TGGGCGTAATAGCTTTAAGACAACCATGAACAAAGAAGATACTCTACCATAATTTTCAGGTAGCTTATGCAAGTACCTTAAGCTTATCTCCACCTTCTAGTGTGGAAATAGATACAAGAATATAAATGACATCATGAAATCAAAAGAAAAAGCTGCTGTTAGCTGAATGGAGTGAAGGCAAAAGACGCATTTTCAAAAATAGTAAGTGAAAAGGAATATGGGGTGTGTGTCTCTGAGTGTGTGTGTGCACAAGCTTGCATGCATGTGTGAAGGGTGGGGAGCAAATGGGAATTGCTTGTCAATACTTTTATTATTGTCATTATTCTGCTGCGATCAAGGCATCTTACAAAAGCAAATGCTCTGTCATGGATAACTGGTGGGCTTCCAAATTTTGCTGAATTGCCACATTCAATATTATATCACTGGGATTGTGGTTGGGTTTTCTCCAGCTGTGTTATTGCAGTCCTTTTATCAGACATGGTCATAAGATGGCAAGACATATGACTTTTTTTACTACTACCAGTTGCAAAAAAAGGCTATGTTATACAATGATATATAGAATGCTCAGATTGCTCACATGTTAAAGATTTATTTTTTATTTAGCATTATTGTAGTAAGATCATGTGAAGTGTTAATACCACTTTACAATGCCTTGGTAAGGCCACACTTGGAATACTGCATCCAGTTTTGGTCACCACGATGTAAAAAAGATGTTGAGACTCTAGAAAGAGTACAGAGAAGAGCAACAAAGATGATTAGGGGACTGGAGGCTAAAGCATATAAGGAACGGTTGCTGGAATTGGGTATNCAACCTAGAACTAAGTAGAACTTTTCTGACAGTTAGAACAATTAATCAGTGGAACAACCTGCCTCCAGAAGCTGTGAATGCTCTAACACTGGAAGTTTTTAAAAAAAGACTGGACAGTCATTTGTCTGAAATGGTATAAAATTTCCTGCCTGAGCAAGGGATTGGACTAGATGACCTCCAAGGTCCCTTCCAACATCTTTATTATTATTATTATTATTATTATTATTATTATTATTATTATTATTATTATTATTATTATTATTATTATTATTATTAAACAGAAAAAAAGAAATGAAAAATAAATTTTAATAGTGTTATGAACAATATAACTTTGAATAAAGATTTCAAAGTAATATTAACATTGATGCTGATCAATTATCTTGTATCCTTTTCAGACTTCAGAACATTATTGAATCTGAACAATATGCAATAATTAGCATCAATTATCACTATAATGTGTCATAAATTAAAAATAAAACAAAAAAGCCTGTGTAATCCAAAAATATTTTCCTTTTTAATGAATCAAATAACTAGGATATTATATTCAAAGAAATACAAACTTTGGATGCAGTCAAAGCCCACATGTACAGTTATAATCTACAAATAGTTTGTAGAATTAAAGAATGGAATTAAACTCTGTATCAAACTTATTTTCAAATATAAAATTATTGTTTATGTTTATGTATAATTCCACAATTTAATTTGCCATTTTTCTACAGAGAGATTATTTCTGATTTTCAATATAAAAAATAGCATAGTATATTCCATGAAAATATAAATTGGTTATGCTGAGCAGAAAAAATGGATGTTTGAAAGAGAATTCAATCTTTGATAGATAAAAATCAATATGGTGCAAGGCCAGCCTATCTGTGGGGCTGCCTTTCCCTAAGAACATCTACTTGCGCTGCCAGGTTAGATATATCAATTCATGTTAAAATATATACACACATGATAAACTGTAGGTATAACTTTTTATGTATCTAACAGACAACAGTATATTTGTATAACCTAGTATCTGCAGCATTGGAGCAGAAAAAAACATAGATAAAACCAATAGTTGTCTTCCTAAGGAGAAATGGAATGGTGTAATAGATCATAAAGTAAACAATGTTGTTTATAGAACATATCAGTAATGTCAGGAAGTTTACAGCAAGTGTGAAATATAATAGGGAGGCAATCTCCATAGCTTTTCAAAGCATTCTGGAAGAAGGGTCCCAGGGTAATTATATTATTCCTTTTATCTTTATAAAATATACTATATATAATCTAAAAAATGACTACACTCAGGGCTCTCTCTTCTGCTGCCAGCTGGTGGGGAGACCAGTGATCATTGTATAAATATTCCAATAAAGTATGCTTTATTGTATCTCCAAATAGTGTCCACTTTGTGGGATCCAATCTAGTCGGTCACTGGGACCAAAGGTTTATTTTCCCAAGCTTTCAGGCTCATGCTGGAGCCTATCATCAATGAACTTCTCTGAAAAATATGTGTGCTAGGCTATTCTATGCAATGTATTTATATGGTTCTTAATTGTGTGTAGCTTTTAGTTGTTAATTGAGGTGTTGATTGCTGGCTATTAAGTTGTTACTTGTTGTTTCCTTGTAGTACCCGATAGGCTGGTGATAAATTAGCACTGCTGTTGACTGACAAAGGGCCCATTTCCCAGGCTTCAATAAACCTTCTGGCTATTTTTGTCCCTGCTTGGTCAACAGTCATAGTAACTGTGAAATTGAATGCATGTCCTTGTTCATTGCAATGTGATGCTACCAATGAGTTCGGGTCTCCTTGTCTAATCACTTGCTCATGTTCTCGCCATCTAGTGGTTAACTTTCTCCCCATCTGTCCCACATAGTCACAGGGGCAATACATGCAGGGAATCCAGTAGATTTTGTTTGAAGTGCCATGTGTCTGATTAACAAAACACTTAAAAGGACTTTCAGGCATATTTTTCCTGAAAGCATTTATTAAGGTTACAGAGATGTCAGTACGGCATGGTGGAAATGCTTAGATCTGAGATTCTTTTCCGTTGCACATACATTCCAGGAATTTTTCCCGCCCCTATTTTGGGGTCATGGTTCACATCTTCCAATTAACTTGGAAGATGTGATTTACTTCCGGTTTCTTTTTCCCGGGCTTTCCTTATTCTCCTCCCCTTTCACTGTTGCCTGATTTAACTATAAAAATACCAGACAGTTCTGCATATTGTTAAAGCAAGAATATACAGTATTTGCAGCATTGACATGAAGTTTCTCCCACCTCCAAATGATTTTTGTAGTGCATGATTTGTCCTTGTATGGTAGCCTTTGGGCGGTGAGTGATGCCCACTTGCAGATCTTGGAAGTTGCGTTCTACTGCTTCTGATATGTGTTTTAATGTATGGTAGGGTGTGTCATATAGTTGGTCTTGTACCTTTTTTCTTCCTTTCTCTCCCCAGCCTATTGCATAGGCATTTTGTGACAAATGCTTGTGGATACCCATTCTGCTTGAATTGTTCATATAGGTACCTGCTGTCCAGTTGTTTTGCTAACTGGGTACTACAGTGTGCTCTCACCCTGCTGTATAATGTTCTGGTGCAATTCTTTTAATAAGACAATAGATGGTTATTGTTGAAGCTCAGAATGCGTGAACTGTTGGTAGCCTTGTGATATACCATGGTTTCTATGCTGCCAGCTTCCTGTCTGTTGATAAGCATCTAAAACTGGCAATAGTCTGTACTTATCAACAGACAGGAAGATGGCAGGTTAGAAACCACCGTATATTGCAAGGCTACCAACACTCCACACATTCTGAGCTTCAATAGTAACCATCCATTGTCTCATAAAAAGAGTTGCATCAGAACACTACACACAGCCAGGAACTATATAAATACAACACATAGAACAGCCCATATTCTGGAGAGAGAGAATTTCCCTGATGATGGACTTCAGCACGAGCCTGAAAGTTTGAAAGAATAATCCTTTGGTCCTGGTGGTTGACTCAGATTAGATCCTGCAACATTATCCTGGGACACATATATCACCTTCATTCACGAGTGTCTAATTTAGGTAAGCAGTTTTCTTACAATAGACCAAATAAAATTAGTTATTTGTCTTTGCCAGCTGTTTAACACCAACCAATTTCTACAAACCCTAGCTGTTGTTAAAAATGTGGCAATTTATTTTTAATGGTTGCCCATATTTGCTCTTGTAGAAGGATGTCTAGAACATTTTGGTCAGAGGCAAGTAAGATTTTTTGCAATTTATAGATCAATGTGCAATTCTACACTATCTCCCTCTAGCCTCCTAAAGGATCCCTCTATGCTTCCATGATTGATTTAAAGGGCAGCCTTTGGAGACTTGGGAGACTGCATCTCCACTTGGCATATGGTCATGTCAGGATAAGCAGCTAATTGTTCCTCAGATGTGGGAGGCATTTTATTCAGGGGCAGCAATGGCCCTCTGAAGCAGCCTGCAGCTTGAAATGAGTTCAGCTCCTACTGCGAATACCTTCCTAAACAAGCTGAAGACAAAGTTTCTGGTTTGTGAACCCATTTGTTTGGAATTTTATGCTTTGTTTCTTTATTTGTTATTTACTCCTTGACACATTTTATTTTATTATAAATCACAAAGAGTCTGATTAGACTGCAGTAAGAAAGAGTTTTAGTAAATGGATAAATTTAAGAGAATAATGTTAAGCACACATAACTATAATTCCAAAATAATTTTCATTGGCTCAGGTACCAAGTAGTTTTGTTTAGAATTTTAGACAAAGTCAAATAAATACATTATGTCTAATTATGAAAAGTCATTTATTATCAATCTTATAATGAGCATTTAGAAAAATTCTGAATATAGTTCAAATTGAATGCACAAAGATTTTCAAAGTAATTATTTTCCAGCATTTCCCCCCATTTTTATTTCATACTTTAGTAGAAGTAGGTTTATAAGAAAACAACAGTGCATATTGACTGGAAGCCTTATACTGTATATTCAAGGAACCCATGAAAGTGTGTGTGGATTTATGAAAGGAGAGGGTTAAATAGAAACTATACAAAATTAAGTGCTATAAAATGATTTAAAAATGATGAATTTAAATTTAAAAAATAATGACGCATTTGTCTGTGTTTGTAAGACAAGCTGATAAATAACATCATTTCCCTCCCACAAAATAAATCATGACTTTCTCTCTCTTTTTTTTTTCTATTTCTTTAACATGAATGAAAGGAAAGCTACAATGTTGAATACATCTGAGTATGAATCTATGACATGGTTTCTTCGCATGATAAAAGACTGGATTGGTTTTGATTGCTTGGAGGACTTTGTGAACTCTGTACTTCAGCCTCTGTTGCTATTACTAGTACTTTTTCTGCTTATATATTATGTACCTTCAGGTATTGTTTTAGTTTGCTATACATGCACATTTTGTTTATATATTTGGAAGAAAAAATATAATATAAAAGAAGACGCTTACAATGAGTTACGGGATAAACCAAGGCAAAGCATGGCATATTTGGTGAATTTATACGGAAAGATATGGCATGGTAAGTAGTTATTTAAATAGTCACAAGATAATCAAGAGAGCAGACAATTTATTCCAGGCAGAGTCTCGACTTGTATGTGGCACACAGATTGTCCAATATTTCTATGAAGCGGTGTGCTGTGTGAAACTTGTATTATCTATCTGCTCTTTGCATCAGAATTGTGCCTCTTATAAATATAATCATAAATGGTAATATAATATAAGTACACTGTAGTCATGAGTCCCAGTTTAGTGTAGTGAATAGGGTGCCCGGCTAGAAACCGGGGAGTCTGTGAGTTCTAGACCTGCCTTAGGCACAAAGCCAACTGGATGATTTGGGGGCAGTCACCCTCTCTAAGTCCTAGGAAGAAGGCAATGCCATCAGAATTGCAGGGATTTGCCCAGGCAATCACCAGGAGACAACATTGACTCGAAGGAGCAAAAATACCTGGAGATGTTACAGTGAATGTGTAAGATAACAACTCAACCTGTATGAAAGGTTAAAATTTCAGCTTCCTTTGCATTGCACCAGAACCTATGCTCTGCTATCTTTCACAGACAAATTTGCAGAATTATTTGGGAGAAACTGGGCAAAACAGTATTGTGCGTTGGTAGGGAAGCAGGGCAAAACTATACTTTACAATACTGTTCATTGATCTTTTTATCAAATTTATACTCACTGCAATCAAGTATACTATTATCAAGTTGCGTTAGTTGAGAACATTAAACAAAACAGTTGTTATTAATACATTCTGGGTATACATGCCAACTAATAAAACCACAAGAATTATAACAATCTACATGTAATCATTCAAGTAATGGTGTCCTATCATTCACCATATACTTCTAAAACACTCCTTAACTCTAAGACGGGAAACAACATGTCAAACCAGTTTTCCAAAGAGACGCTATTCCATAAGATAGGTACTACCATTGAAAAGCAAGGCCTTTGCACCTCAAGAGTCTCAATCTCCACTCAATGAGAGTATAGGAACTTCTCCTACAGGCATACAAATTGTGGATCCTATGTAACTGGAGAAGACTTTCTTGCAAAATCTTTACTGCCAAGCCATATAGCACTTTTTATGGAACAAGCTGCATTTTGATTTTGCATCCAGTAGCTAGAGGCAAGCAAGTACAGAGTCTAAAGTGTAATGTGTTCATTGTATGAGTACTAAGTGACAACCAGGCTGCTGTCTTCTTGACAACTGAAGCATCTGTGTGGCTTTCATACAGACTGCATTCCAGATTACTCACAGTGATGAAGGTACTGTGAGAATACTGAGATCTTCCTGTTCCAGGTAGGATTATTATAGCTGCTGTATCAAAGGTTCAGTTAATTATGGCTTTACCTATGAACAGTAGCCATGAGTCCAGAAGGTCATGTACCCTTGAATTTCAGGACTACAGCCAACACTCCATTAAAAGACAGCAACAAAGCAGTCAGAGAACCTCAAGAAATTTAAAACAGTAACTCTATCTTGCTGGGATTTAATTTTATTCTCCTTGTTCCATCAAAATCTCAACAAAGTTCAGATACTTCATCAAGTGGGAGGTGGTCAAAGAGATATTCTTACAAACTGTTACATTTTTCAAGAAAGTAAATTAATAATATTAATACAGATATAAGTTTAAACAATGGAAAAATAGATTACAAAGATAATCACAGTGATTATTGCAGTTAAATAAAAAGCCAAATTAAGCAGTAAAGTAAGGATGAATAACCAATGAATATCAGATTAGGAATTTAGAGTACTGTAAAGCTATTATTTTTATGTTAAATAGTAGAGATGAAGAATTGAACCCTATGGGACTTGATGAGGAATGGCTGCTAGCTGGCTTTTCCCCCCTCACCACTTACTGACCTGAATTGCCCATGAAGGAAGGAAGAAGTAGACTCTCTTCAAAACAATGCCTTCAATCTCCAACTCCAGAAGATACCAATAGTTATCAAAGGACTAGGAGGGGTATAGTATCTCCTTCCAGCTCTACACAAGGGTGAATCCAAAGCAAACATTAACTGTTGACCCTGAGTCAGGAGTACAGAGAATCTGTTTCATTTAGAGTGCTATGTAGCTGGCCCACAATCACATTTTCAACATTTTCTTTTTAAAGGTAGGTCCAATGCTGGGAGATAGTTATCAAAAATGATTGGATTGAGGATGGAGTACACCCAGACATTCTTCAAGATTTCATCCACTGCCCCTTTCTATAATGAGGCACTGAGTACCTCAGAGAACAAGCTTCTATACATACGTTTTACATAAGAGGTGTAGTTGCCAGGTAGCTTTTTTCCCCCTCACCATCTATTGACCTAAATTATGTATGATTGACAGACACTGGCCTCACACTAGAAAAATGATTTTCAAAAAAGATTTAGAGTAATTTGTTATTATCTACAGCAACTGCCTCTTGCAGCAATAACTCACAGTTACAATAGCATTTTTTAAAATTTGTCAGATATGTTTGGAACATGATTCCCAGTAATCTTAGAGACATTTTAGTTATGCTGCCTGAAATTGCTGGTAGATGTCACAAAATATTTGGGAAATATCTGGTTAAGAAAAGTACTCTACGTGTTTTGCATTATGTATTTTCTCTTTTCTAAATGAATTTGTTTTATCTCCATGAATCCTCTTCAAACAAAAATTAGTCTACTTTTTTCAGGTTATGAGATCATTGGTATGGAGAATCTACCACAAGGACCAGGACTGATTGTTTATTACCATGGAGCAGTAGTTTTTGACTATGTCCTCTTTATAGCTAAAATCTATGAAAAGACTGGGAGAATAATCAAATCTGTGATTCATTGTATCTTTTATTTAGTACCAGGTAAGATATTTTAACTTTATATTTCAAACTAGCTGTACCCGTCCACGCGTTGCTGTGGCTCAGTCTGGTTAAATGGAAAAGAAAGAAAAGAGAAAGCGCACGTTTGTAATATGTTTAATTTCACAATGCTAGTGTGTGTTGCTTTTACGTCCAACAGATGGCACTGTTTTTCCATAAAAGCATGTTTTACCTGTCACAGGTGTGACATCTATATAATAGTAGGTATATAAAAACATGTGCGTATTCGAATGCAACGTTGTGTCAAAATTTCAAAGCAATCGGTGAAGAACTTTTGGAGATTTAAGATTTTGAACAAATGAACATTTACATTTTTATTTATTAGATTATAGGTGATTCTCTTTTAGTTACCACAGCTAGGACTAGCAACTTGATTATTAACAAAGTGGTAGCTAAGTGACTGTATTTATGATCTTACTTCAGCTTTCCTTTGCTTTACAAACCTGTAAGGACTGGTTGCAAAATTATTTTTTCATTGCTATTGTAGCTGTGAATGGTTGCTGCAAGAGGCATTTGTTATAGATAAATCACAGGTGTCAAACCCACCACATCACGTGACATGTCGCAACATGTCGCGACTCTTTTTGCATTGCTGGCAATGGGGTGGGCGCAGCTTCAATATGATGAAACCGGCTCATGGGCTGGCAGTTTCACACCCCTGCTCTAAATCTTTTTTAAAAATCACTTTTCTAGTGTGATACCAGTGTCTGACAATCAGCATGTCTTTAAAGATATGCAAAATGTTTAAAGAGACTATTTGCAACTTATGATCCAGAAAATCAGCTATAGTCCAGTAGCTTTAGTTTGTTATCTTCTGCTTAGGAATATATCATTTAAACCCTGGAAAGTTGCATTCAGCATGCCAGGCAATTATAACCTAGGCAAGTCATCTGGTTAACTCCTAGATTGCCAGATTGACAATAGCTAAGATATTCTTTATCCAAGGGTGCCATGGTCCAGAGATCTAAATCTATTTGTATCTAAATAATTTGTTCTCCAGTTCCTGCAGGAACCTTATTCAGATCCTGGTTGGAAGGTTGTGCTCATTTGTAATTTGCAAGCTACTTATGTCCCCAAATGCCCCCAAATAGCTTGCCAATGACTGGGACTTCAGTTTTCTTCTTTGGAGATCAAATGGGGATTTTTTATTTCAATTATGGTCCTCACCAGACAAAATTAGGTGAACTAAGAGTTCACCATTGGGAAATAAATTACTTCCAAAAAGGAAAAGCCAAACTGAGATGTCATCTCTCTTTTTTCCCATTAAAAGAAGTACTGGATGGCAATAGTCACCCCACCCTTGGCCACAGGGACAGAATATTTCTTTCTGAGAAAAAGGCACTTCAAAATAATTTATTCACTTCATCCCCAAAGCTGCAAGAGAAATAAATGCTTCTTTTTCAGAAAATTCTGATTCTGTCACAGAAAGAGAAAGTTTGATTTCAACTTCTGGTTTAAATATATCTATATACAGTGGTAACTTGATACTCATCATTAATTGGTTCTGAGAGACATAATGAATACCAAAAACAATGAGTACCAAACACATTTTTCCCATAAGGAATAATGTAATAGTCATGAGGCAAACAACATCGACAATTTCTAGCTTGAGGGTCAAGTATCAAACAAACGACAAATACTGGGACAAATTTTTCATGTCAAAATGTGTTGTGTACCAAATTTGATGACTTTCAAAACAGTTGAGTAATGAGGTACCAGTGTAAATGGAAAGGAAGATGCAGAGGTTACAGAAGTTATATTCACCAGACCATGAACAGAATAGAGAAAGAGAGGATAAGTCTCAGAGAAAATCTCTTGTCCTCCAAAAAGAATTTGACTTTGTTTGACCTGTATCTAACCATATGCCAGGAAAACAGTTTGGTGTAGTGCTTAAGTTACCAGGCTAGAAACTGAAAGATATGAGTTCTAGTTCCATCTTTGGCACAAAACCAGAAGAATGATCTTGAGCCAGTCACTCCATCTGAGCCATAGGAAACAGATGATGACAAGCCACTTCTGAAATCTTGCTAACAGAAATGCTGAGATTTGTCCAGGAAGTTGCCAGAAGTCAACACTGACTCAAAACACACTCAAAACACCACCCTATGTCAAGAAAAGTGTGTTACAAAGAAGATTTTGATATTCC